CGCCTGGAAGACCCACACCAGCCATTGTATTCCGGCCGTGAAAGCCTTTGACAATACACAAATTTAATTATAAACATAATTAATTTTTTTTACCCTTTCATATTTGCCCCTTTTTCAGGTTAATATGGTCACTGTATGGTCACTGTACCTATATGGTCACTGTACATATACCATAATAAGGACAACAATGTGATCTTTATGGACCATGGGGAAGAGCTTCCAAGTCTCCAGAATCTGGCAATTCGTTTTTCAGATACAATACTTGTATTTCCTAATATTTAAACACTTAAAATGCTAGTTTTGAATTTTGAAGTCAGAATGATCTAGGTTCAGGATGGGCTGTCTTCTGTGAGAATGTTCACAGTTAGGGAGCTAATGGCCTAAGAGCATTCTTTTGTGAACTCTAATTAAGAAATCCCTTCCCTAGATTAATTCTCCCAACATCTGGAGGATGAAATAGTGGAATCGAATTATTTCATAAGGTGAGGGGAGATGTGGTTCCTTCTTTAAAAAAAAAGATACTGCTGTGTAAAACAGCAGTATTTAATCTGGGTCATTTTTCTGAGAAGTTAGTTTTCTATTTGCAAGAAAGATTGAAATGCATTTGTTTCCTGCAGTCTGAGTTCATATAGCTGTTTGGCCACTCTTTTTTCTTTTGCTGCATCTTGTTCAGATCAAAACTTAAACTCATTCTGTTTACCCAAACCTTTTTTTTAAAACAAGTTAATTTTTTTTTAATGGGTGTCACCTTCTATTAAAAGTACATTTTTTCTTTAATAACAATGCACTGCATTTCTTACTGTTTTAGCTTGTTTTTCTTTTACCATTATGTAAGCTACCTGGGGTGGGGTGGAGGTTTATAACAGAAAAATGGAGTAAATTTACCTTAAAATTAATAATAGTTTGAAGGGGGACTTCCAGTTGATTCTACCTTGCAGATAGTTGTCCGTTTGCTTTCAACACTGAGAGAAGTGTTAAGACTTGCCCTTGTTTTGACTGATGCTTCTCGTATTTCTTCTAGTTCTTTCACACTCCCATTGCAATTTTTATTTAGCCACCTTCCTATCCCTCTTCTTGCCTCTTAATACCAGCGTCCCTAAGCTGGTGTTCTCCAGTTGTTTGGGGACCACAAGTCCCAAAATGACCAGACAACATAGCTGTGAGAGTTGTGTTCCCAACATATCTGAAAGAGACTCAGCTGGGGAAAACTTTTTCTTCATTTTTCCCTGAAGGTGCAGCAAATAAAGGTTCTTAGGATGGTCACTTGCAAGGCAAGAAGACTAAAAAGATCTAAGAAGCTTGTATTGAAGCTACATGGTTTCTGAATCCTTTATTCTCTACAATATGAAGCAATTTAAGTTGATGGTCTGAAATAATTCAATTCTTTCTGCTGAAGCTCCAGCAAAAACGTTCTTTCCACTCCCAGCCCAAGACGCTGTTTAACTGCAGGAGGAAGATGAGACCGACAGTCCCCGACTGTTTCTTCTGCCTCTGCTCGCACTGACCACACTTAGTCTCATGCATAATTTGGCCTTTAGAACATTTAAATACAAAATAACTCCGTTGCACAGAACTATCCTAAAATATCCTGGTAGAACAGCATTTTCCATAACCCAATATAACAAAGGGTATACGTGTTAGATAAGTCCAAAGCCGTGACAGAAACACCATCAAAAAGGCAAACAACGTGTTGCTTGATCTCTGGAACAAATTGCAGCAGGTGGTGAAGAGAAAATGGGCCAAACGTGCAAAGCAAGACAATACTGGTGCAGAAATAGGTTTTTCATGGTGGTAAAATTTCCATTGTGCTGCTTCTGTTTTCAAAGAGCACTGAGCTTTTCTAATTAACTTGTGTAGATTGGGTTGTCTTCCCACCCCCAAAGGGTGGCCACAGTCCTTAAGTACTGTTTGCCACTTGTTCCAAAAGGCAGAACCCTAGAGATAAACATGAAGAGTGGGGAAATGGTGACCTACGTCTTCAAGGTTTTCCTGTTTTCTTTCCTGACTTCGGCTTCTCCTGCAATAAATATAACTCACGAATGCTGGGAAGACGTCACTGAATTCCTGTCTGACTTGAATGCAGAAAAACCCAAAAAGTATGCAATAAAGAGTAAGTAGAAGTGATGTAAGTTTGCCTTGCTTGATTTAGACTCTTCGTTGGCTTGAAATATTCATAACCCCCTACTGCATGAGGCTGTTCCAATGGCTGGCAATAAATTTTAAAGGCAATCAAAAGAGCCAGGATGTTAGAGTCTCTCACCAGGCTGCCAATGAGATATTATATACTTCCTTTCTGCAAATGGATCTAAGGGCTACAGAGCACACAAACATTCTTCTCGGCTTTCCTTGGGTTCTCTGGAGTGGAATATCTGAGCTGTAGCAAGCCTTTGGAGAAACACCCCTGTCTGGGAATTGCCAGATGTTAACATTTTTTTAATGTGACCAGTTGTCTACAGATTGAAAAATGCTAAAAAGTTACTTCAAAGAATTGAGGGTTCCCCCCCCAAATTAATTATGGATCACCATGGTGTGGAGGCTATCTTTCTCAGGTCTCCAGCACACTGTGAAGGTGGGTTTATCCTTATTAGTGCTAAATTACCATCGGTTTTGTAATAGTTTTTGGATTATTCTAACTTTACAGTATTTTTTTAATAAGCAAAGAGCAAGTATTATTTATCTGCAATAACTAATTGAAGTAATGAGTCGGACTATCCCATATTAACAGATCAGTGGGTAAGGGTCTTAATGTATATTCAATACATTTCTAAATGTCCTGAGATGAGACAAATTCAACTAAAGATTCTTTTTCACGTTTACTGGATACCCCAGAAAAGGGGTTTGAAAGGTTGGCTGGAAATGTCATTATGTTGTAAGGGGACACATATAGTTATGGGCTTGTCCCACTATTGCCCTATTTTAGTTCAATGTCAATATGCTTGTCAGTATGGTATTACAAAGATCAATATGGCTTAAAGATGTGGATGTACTTCTGAATTTTATATTCCCAAAAGTGGGAAGATATCCCTAAATGAAGACTTACATATTTATCAAGCACCAAGGCACCACTGTTCAAAGTTGGAAAGATAGTTCAATTGAAGATTTACAATCTTGGGTTGTTCGTATGTGTCTGGTGTATGTTTACAAGAGGGCCCAACAATTCCCAGGACTCTCACCCATGTTGGTGCTTGGTAACAGATTGTCTGGAGGAACAAGCAACCACTTAGAATTCAGAAGTTAACTTTTCCTGCTCAAGTCAGTTGGTAAGTGGAGATGATCTACAATTCAGCCACTTTGCTTTGATATTACAGTGTATGATTCAGTTGGGAAATACAGCAGCAATATCCTGAATGGAAATGTGGACAGATTGGGGTCTTACACTGAATGTATTTCTGCAGAGGCTCCTTCTGGAAGATTCCGTGGACAATATTGCAAACTTCAATTGCAACAAGTGAGTGATGTACACTGCTGTTGCCTGAACATATAACAAAAGTACACCATATTGATATGCTAGTGCCAACTCTCCCAGGACCTTTAGCAAAAGAGATTCAGCGTAGAGACAGTCCTAACACCGGAAGCATTTAGACATTTGCATTCTAAAATCTGCCATGGAGTGGGCTAGATCAGTGTTTCTCAACCTCAGCAACTTTAAGATGTGTGAACTTAGACTCCCAGAATTCCCCAGCCAGTTACTGAGGTTGAGAAACACTGGGCTAGATTCTACAGTCTCTGGCAAAACTGTTTTTCAAGATAAGAACTATTATTTCTCTTGTTGGCTCTAGAAGGGCTAGAAAAACTAGATGGCAGCAGAAGGTTTTCTGTACTCTTTTGCTCTCATCTAGGTTTTTGCAACCTGATTGGGTAGCCCTGCTCTGGCAGATGAATGCCTTTAATAACAGGCTAAAGATATATCCCTCTATGGTGGAGCCCCAGCATCCAGGACTGGTAAAAGCATAGTCTCTCACCTCATGCTATCTCATGAGTTCTTCCATAAAATATAAAATAATAATGATAAAATCTCCACATATAGTGATTTGACATCAGTGTACAAAGATGCTGTATACACAAATAAAGGTGTATTATTGTGACCGAGAGCCAGTTTGGTGTAATGATGAAAGGCAGTAGGCTAAAATTCAGGAGACTGTGAGTTCAAGTTCCACCTTGGGCATGAAGCCAACTGGGTGACCTTGGGCCAGCCGCTCTCTCTCAGCCCTAGGAAGGCGGCAACAGCAAACCACTTCTGAAATCTTGCTGAGAAAACTGCAGGGGCTTGTCCAGGCAGTCACCAGGACTCAGAGGCACCAAAAAACCCCAGAAATTATTGTGACAAAGATTGATCAGGTGCACCTTTTTGGGAAAGCTGGTTCTTGTCTCTCTTCTGTTGCTCTAACTGTTTTTTCATCTCTAGGAATCTCACCCACTTGAGCCTTTTCCTTGAATTAATCTGCTGACACCTTTGATAGACTTATAAACTTATAATTTCTCATTCTTTGCTTGGGCCCGGTTGAAGTCAATGCATTTTGAGTATCCGCTTAATTTGTTTGCTTTTGCGAAATCATACAGTAACAGGATTAAAACCATTATACTCCCAGGACAGGATTGATTACTCCAATGGAATATGTGTCCCTGATTCCTGCCATGAAGAAGAAATTACAGCATTAGCCACATTAGGTAAATGGATTGTATTTATGTTGGTCCTTAGTATATAAATCTTTCAGATATGAAAATAATTCCTGAAGGACTATTATGTACTGATTTCCTACACATACATGCCTGTTAATTTACTACAGTCAAGTGGCAAAGACTGTTGCTGTCTTGCAAAAGCTTCAGTCCTGGGTTTACTGACTAAATAAAAAATTAAGTTGCTTTATGCATCCTCTACCTCCCTCCACCTTCCCTAATTTTTGAACCATATTTTTAATGCCTAAAAAAGAATAGTAAAAACAATAGTAAGGCATTGGAAAAAAAGACGAATTCCTTTATTTGCTCATACTGCACATTTCATTAATTCTGAAAATATACCCTATCATTTATTGCTAATTAATAGCTTATTTACAATTAAGAGATATTTCACAAGGGGTTTGGCATTGTGCAATAAAATCTGTGCGCCATACAAACATGGTACTTTAAAAATAGCACACTGAACCAATTGTATGACAGAGGAATACTTGTTTTATTGTATTTTTTTATTATTTTGCAAAAGTATTGCAAAATAAAAGTCAAATATTACGTCAACAACTTTTCATTCTAATCCTTTCACCCTCCCAACGTAACATTCTCCCCTTTATCTAAGCTTTTCACCAACTGATTACAGTTCATCTTAAATCACCTTATAATTTATTAAACCCATAATGTTCATCACTGTGGGGTATCATATTCACTATATTTAATTTATTTCATTTCATTTTAATTAAATGGAAATTCAATGTTGCTTGTGACTTGGCTTCATTAACTTGCTTCTCCGGGCCTTGCCAGGAGAGTTAGGGATATTTGCCATACAAAAGCCAAACGTAGTCCTTTTAAAGACTTTAGTGTGATTTTTTCAAGCCTCTGGAGCCTGGCAGAAACAAATTAGAGCCATTTCTGCCAAAGCTAACAATAGTGCCAAAACAACCCTGAGTTGTTTTCCTTCTAAAAGGGACAGATGCATACCTTCTACCATGAAGCTTTTTAAATGCTATATGGTGCACAGGTATACCTACACCAACAACGATCCAGAGCCCGTAGACGTAGTTAAATCTAGGTTTTTACGAGGGCTGTTCCAAGTTCCATGCCATGTTTCAAATATTTTAATCCACATGGAAACTTGTATAATTCTATTAGAAGTGAGAGTCTGTGTTTACTGACTTAAACTCCCATTTTCCAAAGGCTCACTGGCTCCATGAATTCTCCTTGATGGTGTTCCATCAAGACGGACAGGAAAACATCTCAGCTGACTGGTGTCATTGTGGCTTTCCCATCCACTCTATCTTGCCTCAAAGTTTAGAGAAAGCTAACACTGAAATCCATCAAAGAGTATTTGACATTGCATGGCAGATGGATTTGGGGGGGCTGTAGACAATTTTCAGAGGTGGGTTCCAGCATGGAAATCTTTTACACCTGCAAATTATTCAATCTTGTTTGCCAAGCATCCTATACAGCTTTTTCTTTGGCTTGTTTCAATGTTTATCCTCAGCAGTATAGATAGTCCTTGACTTACGACCATTCATTTAATGACCATTTATGTAATAAAGTTACAATGGTGCTGAAAAAAGTGAATTACAACCAGTCCTCGCATTTATGACCACCACAGAGTCCCTGCAGTCACATGATCAAAATTCAGGCACTTGGCAACCAGCGTGTATTTACGATGGTTGCAGCATCCCAAGATCACATGATCGCCATTTGCAACTTTCCCAGGGAGCTTCCAACAAGGAAAGTCAATGGGGGAAGCTGGAGTTGCTTAATGACTGTGTGATTCACTTAACAACCACAGTGATTTGCTTAATGACTGCGTCAAAAAGGTCATAAAATTAGGTACAACTCACTTAATGACCGCATCCTTAGTAATGGAAGTTCTGGTCCCAATTGTGGTTATAAGTCAAGGACTATCTTTACTAGATGGGAGGTACAACAGGATCCCATTCACTGAGATGCTATTTTGTCGTCAGAATGACCCTGAGACCAAATTGCGTGTATTTTTCTGCTGTCCTTTCTATACCAATTTATGTGCAGACATACCTTTACTGCCTCCTAATAAAAACTGAATCTGTTATGAAGAACAGGGAGGTTGTTTCCTACTTGCTGTACCATCAACAATAGAGTTGCTAAGTTTCCACTTGTAGTGATTTCCATAAAAACGCGTAATTGTCCTAATCTTGAAGTGATAATATTATAACACATTTTCTCTTTTATTTTATTGTACTTTTATTTTATTTTATTTCATTTCATTTTATTTCATTTCTATTTTATCTTATTATTGTTGTACTTTCTATTATTCAATTTTGCCCTTCCTTCAATTCTTCATGTTTAAGGTTGGTATAATCATTACACTATTTTTGTTGTGTTTGGTCATTGCTTCTGTGTTCAAATCTGAATCTGAATCTAGTCCTTGGATTGAAAAATGTGCTTATGCCAAGAAAAGTAGAATTGAGTCCAGGGGGAGTAAAAAAAAATCAAGATGGCTGCCACCTGTTTTACACATATGTCATATGCAACACACATTAGGAAGGGGTGGACCCGATAGCAGTTGTAGTTGCCATCTTGATTTTTTTACACACACACCATGGATGCCCCTGGGTTGGGAGATTGTGAGAATGGAAGCACAACAAAATAGAGGGCACCAGGCTATAACTCTCTTTCTTCTCTCAGAAACAGGTGATTAAAAACAGGAAAAAATGAGCGATTCGTTTTTTTAAAAAAAGACTCCCATGAGTTTACTACTTTTCAGATAGAAACGCAATAAAAACTCCCTGTACCAGAGGCAAACACTCTTTGTACCTCAAGAAAGCAAATGTTTCCATGAATTTTCTTCAAGAAGCAATAAAAATCTGTAAGCAGAACATGCTCTTTTGTCCTGACCGTGGGTTATTACTGTTGTTCTTTCTTGACAGATATATTTAAATTAAAGTCCACCTCTTTCCTGTTGCCTTTCCCATCACTCTTTGCTCTGAACTCAACCATTTCTATTAGCACAGTGGCCAGATGTGCGAAAGACTTTTCTACTGTTGATGTGTTCATAGGAGTTTGCTTGTAAGTACCGGGTGTCGGGGTGTATATGTATGCAAAAAAGGACATTCCAACAATTGCCTCAAGGCACCAAGACTTCTGCAGTAATGAACTTCTGTTTTCCCTAGGTTTATTAGCGTTTTCTTCATCATTCTGCCAGCTGCTGGAACTATTTACAGTGCTGTTCTCTGGAGGAAAGCTAAGAGCAACCAACTGCCTTCAGATGCAAATTATGGCAGCACATCTTCAATGCAAAAAAATACCAGTAAATCAAAAACAGAGAGAACACAGACCCATGAATCCATATCAGGGCTATTGCCACTGGTGGATGGTTCAAAGCAAAGTAGGTGTCTTAATATATTGTTAAAAGTACATATATATTCATGAATAATGTGCATAGTGCATTATGCGATAGGATCCAAAAAGGTAGTTTAGTTCATTTAAACTAATATATATTAAGATATATAAAAAGTACAGTTAAAATACAAATCAGAAAGTATAGAAAAGGAAGAAAATAGAACTAACAGAAAAAGACCAAAACTAAAACAGTGAAAGCAGGTAGAAAGATGAAACAGAAAGTGACTTCTGACTATCTCCAATACAGTTATAAGTACAAATTTTTTAAAAAATTAATCTCTTACCGCTAATTAATCCAAGTTCACATTATTTCTATCAACACAAACCATCTAATCATTAAATCCCACAATCAAAGCTTCATGTTTTCCCAACCCAAGCACATAATCTAGGAAAGGTTGCCATGGGGAGACAAATTTAGAAACAGTATTCTCTCTTATGAAAGCTGTTAACTTCGCCATTTGAGCCAAGGCCATTAATTTGATAATCCATCCTTCCACTGCAGGCATTTGTGAGTCCTTCCATCTCTGTGCGTATAACAGTCAAAAAGATGGTTTAGTTCATAGTCTCTGTGCTGTGGGTACTGGCCTTTTGCATACTGTGAAATGAAAATGACAGAAAGATAGCACGATCTAAGAGCCACAAGTCTTCAGCTTTATAGATTGTGCCATCTGGGTTGACGTCCATCTTGTTTCCTACTTGTCCTACTTATCCCTTGCCCCTAAAGCCTTACTGCAAGCTTTAGGCCATAAAACAGGACTGTAGTAGTAGTTGTAGTCTGGCCAGGGTGCTCCATTGGCTGGTAATTTCCTAGCTGGATTACTGCAGCATGTTACACATGATACTGCCCTTGGAGACGATTCAGTAGCTACAGTTGATGCAGGATTCAGCTGTCAGAATTTTTACTGGAATAGCCAGGTTGGCTTTCTTGCTCCGATTTCAATAGAATAATGCTGGTTGCTTATTTGTTTCTATTCAAGATGCTGGCACCAATTTATTTATTTGTAAAAATAAAATTCTGTCTTACTCTCTTACACTCAAGCTTATCTTTAAAGAATGGGCTGGGAGCATCATGTCTGAAAGACCAGCTCTCTGCAAAGTAGCTTTCTTGTGCCTGAAGGTTGCTTTCCTTGAGAAGTTCATTATGAATCTGCATCAGTGTTTTTCAAACTTGGCAACTTTGAGATGTGTGGACTTCA